AATAGGTTCTTATCTTATGACTTTTATATCCTTTCAGTCATCTCTACTATTCCATCATTCAGAACAATATATCCAATATATATCCTCCATAAAATACTAAAATTTTATCTATTAATATATATTAATTCCCAGTATAAAAACAACTATATTTAATCCTAAAAACCTTTTAAATGTTTAGAGGCACTTATAAAAATAAATAAATAAAAAGTGGAAATACAAAATAGGAAACAGCACAAATATAACTCTACAACAGCCCTCTAAAACATCTTCTAATGCTTAAAAGTCGCATAATCTAAAAAAGTTTAAAAAATGAAAGGGAATATTAAAACTATAACAGTGATATTATCTAAGAAAATGACACATCTCAAAATCGGCATTAAGACCGTTAGGAATCAAAGTATTTAGTTTAAAAATCCATTCCATTTCTATCTTACTCATTTTGGCGTCAAAGTTACCTCCTCTCCAATCTTTAGATACATTTTTTTTAAACCCAGAAATATGGTGTCTTTGACTTCACAGTTATGGAAGATTTTGTAATGTAGAGAGACACTGTGTTTCTCGAAACCTTTAGTAATGTTTCGACCATGTCTGGAAAAACTGTCTAAGACAACTATGCTTTTAATTCAGCTACTCTGGTCGAATTAACTTTGAATTCTCACTTAATATAAGTTTTCAAACACTCTCCGAGCAAAGGTGCATGCAAATGGCTGAAGGATCCTGTCATATGCTAAAGTTATGAATGTTTTTTCTTATTTTTATACATATATATATATTTATAGTTAAGTTGAAAAAAAATACTTGGTCATTAAAAAGGATTAATATATTAAAAATATTTATGAGGTGACCATTGTCCAATAAATATTATTTGCCTCTTTAAACAATGGAGACCTATTGGAATAATGACACAGATATCCAAATTAGGGGAACAACGCTGGGTTTAAAACGACTGGTTTAATTAAATGGAGACATTTACTAACAGCCTTTAACATAATTTTTTCTGCACTGAAATCAAACTATTGGGCTGGCAAATACAATATTAGTCCAGCTTTCCTGCTTTAGAAAACCTAAAGAACATTTAACAGCTTTGCTTATAATTTTAAGGGAACTCATCAAACGAAAGTGTGCTATCAACACTAAACATATCACAAGGGTTGTGGCCTAGTTAAGTGGCTTAAGGCATAATTTATCAACCAATACATCTTTCCTTAAAGTAAAGTTGTTTGTGTAATAGTCTAGTTAATATTTAGCTTTAGTGTTTCTCTAAATGTTTCTGCAATGAGAGAAAATAATTATTTAAAGTTCTAATTGTCCATTAAAGTTGGCCTGTTGGTATTTATTACAATGTTGCTAATTGGACTATAGCAACCTCCGGACTTCTTTAATTGTGTTACTTAAATGGTACCTTTGCAGTGTATTTGTCAACACGAAATCTTTAATGATTAACAAAATATTCATATATTGCAAAAAGAAACCATCGAGCAATGTATTCTTTAATTATGTGCTGGCAGGCAATGAGAAATGAAGATATAAATTAACGACTTTAGTGAGTAATCTTATGATGACAAATAAATTGCTAATTATCTAGTTTATAGTTCTCAACATTTTCACCGTTTTAGAAAATGGCATGTGGTGGGTTGCAGCCAGCCCTGTTCAATCACGGTTTTTAAGCTAATAAGGGGGGATATGTTGAAGGGTGTTTCACCGTTATATTACTCATTATTGAACATGAAGAACACGCAGCTGCTGAACACGTCTGAGCAATGTGGGATGTCAGGTAATCTCTGTTACATGGGAACCTAGTATCATAACTCCCAACAGAAACAGGGAGGGGGGCACCAAAACAAGGGACATGTCCGACTGGCATGAATGTATGTCAGACTCTTCGTTCAGTCGCACTCAGGGCGGACTACGCTGAACTGCTCTCTCTGTATGGTCCTAGTCCCTTCAGCACTGCGGGAGGAAGTCTAATGACACTTGCTGGGGATAGTTATGGAGGCTGAAATAACATCATTAAAGGAACACTCCAGACTGGAGTTATACTGTTTCCCATTTTATTTGTGATTTAACTTAGTGAGCCATACTACAATTCATACCATAAGTAAAAATAAAAATATTTCAGACATGACTGCTGAGTACACATGTGCGTAGGTACAGGGTAAATGTGTATGGGCATAACCCTTACCCACCGATAAACCCCAATCACTTATTTACCCAAAATAAACAAACCACAGACTTGCTTGGTGAAAATAGTTCACAGCTTTATTCAAATATAAATATATAAATCTTTAAACTTCAACTTTATAACATAAAACATTCTATATACATAATTTACTCAGTAAATAAATATCCGTCACTGAGTACCACCTTGCCAACCAAAACATTTACTTGGGCAGCTGCCCTCCCCCCTCGTTCCAACCAGCACAAGGCCTTTTTTCTGAGCCTTCCATTCTCGTAATGCTAACCACTAGCCGATTATTGGCTCAGTGGGCATGTCTGTTATCCCTATCTGTACCTGAGGTTAGGGGAAGGACTGCCCTACCCATCCACTTTCCACGGACTGCTGGTCCAACCCATGGTTGACAAGGGCTATATACCGCCACTCTGTGACAAGAACCAACACAGACAAATATGAATAAGAAACAAACAAGGGGAGGGAGGGCGTAAAGCTGTTACCAACTGATAATTAAGATGGCTGCTATCCTGTTAGCTGCCTACCTATTTATACCAACCCACCCCTTTTGCCCCGTAATACTCCTCCCACCATTCAACAATCTCCTTACCATTCTATCTATACACTCATTCTATCTCACACTCACATGTTCCTGTTCTATGTAGGCCTAGCCCGACTCCTCAGGGCCTAAGCCGTTATACATCACAATAATAAGGTGATCAGTGTAATTATATGGATGTACACCATGCAACATATTCAATACAATACTATCTAAATTATTGTATTCTTTCTCAGTATTTTATAAAAGATTCCAACTTCCAGATTAAATACAATATGAAAAGAGTATATATAAAAAGAGGACTTTTCTTTCCAAATTTTAAATAGTAATACCCTAGAATTTTTTATAGAATTCTCCAGCAGAAAATGTCAGTTTACATGACAAGCTGTCACTTAGAAGTATCCTTATTATTAAGATGCCAAACACATTAGTATTTTATATTCATCTTTAAGTAAGGCACGTAAATACCAAAGTTTTGACATGTCTAAATCAAAACTTCAAGCACTGTAGAATTAAATTATATTAATATTACTTGCAAATCTATGTTTATTCTTTATTTTCTGCCACTATGTTTACAATGCCGCTTTGTCAGTTGTGGTGCGTCCATATATCTTTACAGTAATTGTAGGCTGAGAAGAAATCGTTATAACCGTTAATACCACCGAGTCCCACATTTATGAGTGAACTAGGAATTGAAAGCTGGAGTCTAATCATTCAACAGAAAATAAAAGAGCACTGCTACAAATCAGAGGGATCAAATAAACCAAAAAGGATTGTTTGCTGAACAGTGAGTTGTGTTGAGCCGACAATAAACTTGCAAAATATAATTAAACAATTTTAGTGATTTTTAAACTGTATATTCCAAGTTGTATTTCAGTTTACAGATGACAGGTCTGTCCCCAACACAGTTTGGTATTTATTTAATATGACAGATTTTTCGGCCTCCCAACTGCCCGATTTCAGCAGGAATGTCCTTATTTCAGGGTCTTTTCCTGCCATCTTGGGTTGGTTCCCTGGTGTCCTGCCCCGGGGATACTAGTGATGTGATGGGTCTATTAAAGATCACAAGACGTGCCATAGGGCCCTGCTTATACCTGTCCCCCCATGTGATGTTACATTGCTTAAAATTCAATGAAATGGCTATCAGGTTCTGCACATATGATAATCTAGTAAATGCATGGTCTAACTGGAGTGCTGTTGGAGTTACATTAGCAGCTGCTCTCTGATGCAGTTACTGTATTGTAAGTATTGATGGGGAAAATTTTGCTTAAACAAAATAAGCTGGTCTGCTTCTGCAGGTGGTGCAAACGCCAAATGATTAAGTGTTCATTTTCATTGTATAGCTTACACACACACAGTTTTTTAGTACAATGAGAATTCAGAGTGATTTTCAAGTTTAAGGCCAGTAAATGGAAAGCATAGCCTAATTAGATAATGTTTCCAGCTTGGATATTTTCATCTTTTTCACCATCGGCAAAAAATATAACAAATTCATATTTTAATTTTTTTCCACAACAATTCTGTTGGAAGTAGTAAAAAAGAATCAGATGATCGCTATATGTCAGAAAATGAAGTGTCTGCAGACTTTGAGACACTGCAAGGGCAGTTTCTTTGCACCAGAAAAAAACTAAATTAAAGGGACACTAAAGGCTCCAAAACAACTTCATCTAAATTAAGTCGTTATGGTGCCAAGATGCCCCCAGAGACACTCTTACCTCAAGGCGTTAAATTGTTTTCGAGAGGTTTAACCCCAAACATGCCTCTTCTCAGCCCCCTCCTGGAGGCATCTGGTTTCAGAATTCTTTTTAGATTCAGGAAGCGTGGAGTGCCGCCGGGCAGGGTGCCGCTGATTGGCTAACAACATATCTTTTGGGGGGACGGGGCTTGACCTGCATGGCCACTGTAAGTATACTGAAGGATCTCCAAGCCTAGTCACTGAATTACTCATGATTTATGCCCCATGGGGCTCTAATTCCGCAGCTGTACGTGACTTACCATTATCCTGCCCTGCCAGGTCCCCTTTGGAGGGTCTGGAGGTCAGATTGCCTGTACAGTCCACAAAGACGTGGCAAGGCCTAATGTGAGTGCTGGACGGGAGGGACAGCCACTCTCTCGGCTTGCTAGATACTGGACTGATGCTACCTCCTACTGCTGCCCCCCTCCCTGGACCAGTGGGGGTGATCCTGGCCTATACCCCAGAGACACTGCTGCATGCTTCGCAAGCCACAATGGTGGTGACATCAGGTTCACTCGAGTTGAAGCAATTCTGTCATGGCGGAAGCCATGTGCACACTAGCTCCCAGCAATGAAGGTGTCGATACCCTCACCAAGCTGGATCAAATATTCACAAGGTTCTGGAGCAGACTGCATGGGTGGACAACCTCATCCAAACACCAAGATCTGACAGGCGGCTCGCCCAGCCGGGTGCCATCTGGTGACATTAGGAAAAGAGTGGCTGCAACTCCCAGTACAAGAGAGCCACGGCAGAAGCTACCACACTCCTTACCTGAGAGGAGGGAACCCAGATACCTGTTGGGCTTTGGTCCTGGGAGACTACACCTTGCACTTTATGTGCCAAAAATCAAGCTGATGAATTCCTTATGGGCACCATGTGGTCTAACCCTCCTCCTTCAAGCTACACCACCCCGGCAACTTTTTCGGTGGAGTAAAGTGCAATGCTTGTTCCAGTGGGATACCGATCTGCCCACTGAGGGCATAGTCTGATCTGAACTGTCTTACATCCACTCCATACCACAGCAGAACCCTTAAGTGTTCTTACCTCCTGTCTAAGACTTCTACGGTGAGGATTTCCTTGGCCCCTGCGGGGTATTGGCTGGTATGACCGCTGAATCCGAGACTTTGTTTGTACCTCAACCTTCCAGGTCCTATAGACAAAAGCAGTGGTTCCCTTTTGCCTCTACCTTATTTAAAGCAGTATCATTGCTTCTTGTTTGTTTAATCCTGAGTTGCTTACTGTTAGTCTTTAAGGGGAGGGTCCAGGGGGGTATTGCTAGTTAAAGCATGCCCTTAATCTATCTCAGTTCAGGCATCCAGTGCTTCTGCATAACACGCTACCATGATGGTATCTTACATACCCACCGCTAGCACTGCTTTCTTTTAGCTACGTTTAACAGTGCAATCTGGTGTATGATGTGTTCATGCACAGCAAAAATAAAGAATTGAAAAGAAAAAAAAAGAACATACCTTTTCCAAGCCAGGTTAGTGAATGGGGAGTCAATGATTGACTGAGAGCATCAGCTGACTGTTCTCAGACAATCAGCGGCACCCCTCCTCTGCAGCACTGCCGTTTAACCTCATGAGCTAAGAGTGCCTGTGTGGGCCACCTGGCACCATAACAACTTTATTTAGATTAAGTTGTTTTGGTGCCTGGAGTGTTCCTTTAAGCTGTAGTGTTTCTGGTGCTTAGTGACAGACAGACAGATATACAGACAGACACTTTGCAATGTAAGGAGAAGAGTTGTTTTCTATAAGTTTCTTATAGATAAAAAATGATTTATTTTTTTTAAAATGTATATACAAACACATTTGGTCTCTATATACTATAATATTATAAATGTATTCATAAACATATAACCATTTAGTTTTATATTATTTTTTTGCCAATTCCTATAGCCATAAATAATCGATCCTAGTTTTACATTCTGTTCTTCCTAGGGATGTGTTCGTAAAGGAAAAAGTGTTTGTGCTAATTCTGTACTTTCAGATGCCACAGGAAAGTAAAAAAAAGACTGAATGTTAATGTACTACATAAATAGAAACAATCAGCTAAATGGTGTCACTAAGTGACCATATTATTATATTTCATTCACAAACAGTACGTAAGTGCCAGAGGCATGTTTAAAAGACCACCACTCCACATGGTACTTTAGCTAGCTGTAGCGCTTTATTTATGAAGAGTGTGTCCTCTTTTTTTTTTTTTTTTTTTTTAAAGTGCAGATTTCAATAACAATTGGCAGGTTTATAAATTAACCTTGTTTACGCCCCCCTGGCTGTCAATCAGAAAACTGGTTGTGTTACTTCCTGGATGTTTAGCTCAGCGGAGCTAAACTCAAGAGGCAGCAATTGCCCAGAGCACATGCATTGCTCTCTCAGCTGCATTGGGAAGTCTGAGATTGGACAGCCACAGAAAGTCTGTGCAGGGAAAGTTTGCAAAGACTGTAGAGAAGAGATCTGTAGGTTTTGCAAGCTGTTTTTATGTATAACTCCAATGATAAAATTCATACAATGCATAAATGTTTTCATTGTGGGCATATATATATATATATATATATATATATATATATTCATTACCATTAGAGGGTTTGTTTAACTAACACATGAAAGATTCTTTAAAAAAAAAAAATATTTACTATAAAGTCAGTAGGAACCATTCAAGTGCAACTGAGATTCTGATGAAAAGCAATATATTTACAGTTGTAACTGAAAAAGTGAAGTGAATTTTCCCAGTTTAATCCCTTAAGGACAAAAGCAATTTTTGCATTTTTGCTAGGTGTGATCATCCGCAATATCCATCTTTTTTCATTTATTGCACCAACACATATTTTGTTCTGTTTTTAAAGACATGTAATGTGACATGTACATATATACATTCTCATTTATTGTAAAAAAAAAAATTAAAAACAAAAAGAAAAAAAAATTCACACGTTTGGCAATACTAATGTGTGCATAATAAGTGCAGCTTATGAAAAGTAATTAAAAATAAATTAAATAATTCAATTTATGTATTTGTCCTGATTTACAGAGTACATCATATATCAAGGATTTCTGTTAGTTTTTTTGGCAGTTACAGGTCACAAAATACAAGGAGTAAAATAAAATTTCAGTGTGGAGCAATTAGAACTTGGTATGTTTGTCTTGTACATTTAATAGCCATTAAAGAAAATAAAACTGCCACACAAAAGTTAATATGTATATTAAGGACACATCTCAGGCTATTTACCTAATGGTATTTTGACACTTCTTATAAAGCCATTTAATAGCCAATCTCTGCTAAATATTATAGTAAAATTGTGTGGGATGGGGGGTTCTGATTTGGAACATGCACACATGTAGCAAGGTTTTTTTAATATGTACTTTGTAAACCTGATGTATGCTACTCCTGTACAAAATCCAATATTGTGTTCAACTACATCTTCTGTGTTCAGTGATACCCTCAATGTATGCCGTAGACACTATCCTGTGAAGTTACCGCTCCATGTAAGAGACATGACCATTTTAGGTTTTACAGTTAGAATTTTTTATAATGAATTAATTGATAGACCTATTTCTTATTTGGGGGCATTTTAGTAATTTAAAGGACCACTCTAGGTACCCAGACCACTTCAGCTTAATGAAGTGGTCTGGGTGCCAGGTCCTTCTAGCGTTAACCCATTTTTTTATAAACATAGCAGTTTCATAGAAACTGCTATGTTTATGAATGGGTTAAGCCTTCCCCCTAATCCTCTAGTGGCTGTCTCATTGACAGCCGCTAGAGGCGCTTGCGTGCTTCTCACTGTAATTTTCACAGTGAGAGCACGCAGCGTCCATAGGAAAGCATTATGAATGCTTTCCTATGCGACGGGCTGAATCGCGCGGCGCCGCGCGTGCGCATTCAGCCCAGGAGGAGGAGGAGGAGAGGAGGCAGAGAGCTCCCCGCCCAGCGCTGGAAAAAGGTAAGTTTTTAACCCTTTCCCCCTTCCAGAGCCGGGCGGGAGGGGGACCTTGAGGGTGGGGGCACCCTCAGGGCACTATAGTGCCAGGAAAACGAGTATGTTTTCCTGGCACTATAGTGGTCCTTTAATTGTTTAAATTACCTTACAAAGGCCAACTTTTGTGAAAGCAGACACTCCAGAGCCTCTAATGTGGTGTCTACTGTGCCTGAACGTGTCAACAACAAGTTAATCTCTTATTCCAGTGCTGCACAGTGTTCTACAATCAGTTTCTCCACGCTCTGGAGTCATAGCTAAAGTTAAAGACACCTGTCTTATGAATAACCTTACTGCGAGAAATAAGGGAACAACAAAGAAGTTTGAAAAGGTATGGGAGCCCTGGGTAACTAGCGATCTTGCAGGTTGACGTAGTAGGGAACCCACACCTCAGTGGAGACCGGCCATTGGGGTATATTACTAGGGGATTTGTGCCCTTCTCTCGCCCTCCCTTTCCTTGCCACCCTCCCCTCTCTGGAACAGGAAGCCTGCTTACGGGTGGCAGGATCGGGGGGATGGTGCTACACCAATGACCCGATTCTCTTTCTCTATCTTTCTATCCTTCTCCCTCTATCCTACTTTTTTCATCTCTCTATATGTTCTCTCTCATCTGCATTTGCACACTCAGAGAGGACTTCTTAGGGGAAAATATACTGACTAATCAAGCACTTTTCTGAAATGATAATAAAGTCACACAATTTAGATGAAAATAGTCAGGGTGGAAATACATGTCTAACATGGATAAGCTGATGAGTTTTTTTCCAACTTGCCTATCTGAGTCTAAAAGTCTGTTATCAACTGGCAATTCACTGCCAATAAAACCTATATGTCCTAAAAACTCTTGCGACCCATTGTTTGCTCTCCATTAGTCTAAAGGGTAATCCAGACGTGGACCCCTTGCTCACGGTGCCTAGAGAGATATCAGCTATGCCTCACTGATGAAGCCTAACAAGGCTGAAACGATCGTCTGGGGTTGCTGTATCTCTCGTGCAGAGAGAACTTGCTGGCATTTCGGGTCTGGACTGCCCGTATGGGTGGGACCAGTCTGATATGCTTCAGATATGTTCTCTCTGTAATGGCACAAGTTGAGCTAAAACCAGCATGAGTTCTGAGCGGGGACCCACCGAAGGGCAGGCTATTTTAGCTGCTGTCCGTTCTCAGAATACTCTTGCGACCCATTGTTTGCTCTCCATTAGTCTAAAGGGTAATCCAGACGTGGACCCCTTGCTCACGGTGCCTAGAGAGATATCAGCTATGCCTCACTGACGATGCCTAACAAGGCTGAAACGATCGTCTGGGGTTGCTGTATCTCTCGTGCAGAGAGAACTTGCTGGCATTTCGGGTCTGGACTGCCCGTATGGGTGGGACCAGTCTGATATGCTTCAGATATGTTCTCTCTGTAATGGCACAAGTTGAGCTAAAACCAGCATGAGTTCTGAGCGGGGACCCACCGAAGGGCAGGCTATTTTAGCTGCTGTCCGTTCTCAGAATACTCTTGCGACCCATTGTTTGCTCTCTATATGTCCTAAAGGACTCTAACTCCCACATTGCATTAGAAACCGGTCACAGGCAGTGAATGATGGTTATTGCAGTCCATTCACATCTAGAGAGCTGCAGTTTGATACCATCTCCTGCTGAAATGTCTGTAATAGTTTGATGTTGTCATCTTTGCACCATCTACCTGTTTAAATCCAAAGAATTCTAAATGGACAGTGATGGGTATAACTATTAACCATGTACTGATTTATATGATTTTATTATATACGAATATTGATATAGTTGAATTTTTTTTAACCAAATAAATGTTAAGATAAGGTATTGAAAGTCAGTTTTGATGTACAGGACCGTTTCTGGTATTATATTAAGAAGAGTGACAGGTGTACACCATATGCTATGCTAAAAAAAATTCTGATGTTTTGAGAAAACGAAAAGCAAAGTATGTACATGTGTAGGTGCTTCAGAGCTACCTGATGGAAACAGATAAAAATATAATCTTATTTCTCAACAAATCTGCTTGGA